GGCCGCGCCTGAGGGAGGCTGAAACCGCCCCCCGGCCTCTTCGGCCTGGGGAATCGGGGGTGAGGGCTAGCAGAGGCTTCTCCTCCCTCCCTCCGCAAGGGGGGTGTTCCCTTGCTCACCGAGCCTCTTTCCCCTTGGGAGCCAGAGGAACTGCAGACTCCTCATTTCCCGGCAGGGAATGGCTATGATTTCTGCTGCCCATTGGGTCGGGTCTGCACTTATCGGACGTGGAGAAGAACGAAAAGAGCTCTTCTCCTTTCTGCTCCCCCCCTCACCCCCCAGCTATCTTGGGAAAACTCTCATGGCTCCGTCGAGTGGGGTTTGGGAAGCAGTGCTGCTTGGCCCTGTTTCTGTGTGCTTCACCCTGTTGTTCCTTGTCCCTATTTTGACAGAGGAAGAAGCGAAGAAAAAAAACCTGTTCTTCCCTTGCTTAGACAAGGCTGTTTTTCTCTGCTGTAATGCAAAAAGGGTAGTGAAATCCAACATGGTTATGACATCATGGCTTTAGAAGGGACCCTGAAGTGACTGACTTAGATTGGACAGTCACTGTCTACATGCACCATTTAGTGGTGCGTGGTGTGAATAGAAAGTGAGCCAAGAGGTGAGGAAAAAATCTGTGCCTCCAAAATGCATGTGGTACACCAGGAAGGTTAGAAAGATGTCAGTGTGATTCTTACGAAAAATAGTCTTTCTTAAACAGGAAGACATTAATGATTTTTTGTTTGGTTGTTTTTTTCCCTGCAAGAAAATAGACACTGTGATTAGTTCTGTTAAAAAGCTCACTAGTGTGCATTCTGGATGTCTTCTCTGAAAAACTCGCTCAAGGGAGTCATCCATTCAGCTATGTCACAGTGACAGAAGAAAAGCTTGAATGCAGTATAATTCAATAATTAGAACATTTCACATAGTTTTCTGTAACAGTTGCAAGCAGTGGCAGTGTTTAGGATCTGTCTCTTAAACCTCTCTGGACACCTTCAAGCAGAATGGAGAACATTTGGACAAAAAAAGGTGTATTTAAATGCTTTCCTGTTACCTTTTCATAATCATTGATAGACACAGAGCAGATTTCTGTGGGTAATGTTGGTAAATAAGATGTTATAGTTCTGTAAGTCATTACAGTAGCTGGTTTCCTTGCACAAAGATACAAATGATGCATTCAATCTGTTGAAAGGCCACAGAAGCTCAGGTGTTTCCACCAAAATGTGTATCTTTAGGAATTATAGATGAGGTTTAATTCTTACTGTTGTCAGTTTCTAAGTAGCTTACATTGTAATGCTAAAGAAGCAAAACCAGTGCCCAGCTCTAATGTTTAAACAACATGAGATGGTAGCTAAATGAACTCTCTAAGTTAAACCACTCTTAGATGCATTATCTGTATCCTGTATTTGTCCATTGCAGTAAATTTTACCTGAAGCTGTAGCAAGATCGGGGTGAAAGGGTCACCATCTTCATGCATTACTCATTTAATAAAATGTGAGTGAGGAATCAGACACGTAGTCTTTTCCTGTTCACCTGCTTAGTATGTCGCAACAGTCTTACCCTCTTCCTGTCAGGAGCGAGTACCGCCCTTTTTAAAGGTGAACATTTCATACCCGGGATGAGGGGAGCAGCTGCCAGCCTATGAGAACCAGAGAGGGGCTTTGTCCATTCTCTGGGGTTTGCTTGCTTTCTGTTTCCGTCCTGTATGTCTCATGCCTGTCCGTTCCAGTTTACTTCCAGTTGAGTTGAAAGAGGAGAGCTGGGAAGCCCAATTTCATGTTGATGAGAGGAACCTACTTTTTCTCTCTGGTTGGCAGTGAATCATCTAAAAATCAGATCATGGATGTTTGAGATTAACCATGTGTGCGAGAGAGAGACAAGGAGAAGAGTGCCAAGCAGGGTACGCCTGTCGGGTGGGAGGGAGGAGCACAGTTATGTTCTCCGTTGGATTGGTCTGTATACTAAATCATTGTCTTGTAGCTCTGGGCACTAAGCACTTGTGTAATAAACAGGTGGACTGCATAAACTTCACGCAGCTCATCACATAGGCTTTCCAGCAGAAAAAGCACAATCTTAAGCTGAATTGAGGGCAGATAATATTTTTAAGTGGTTGTATATTTCTGACTGCATTTCCTTCTTGCCCAGTTTGGTGACTCCTCCTGTGGGAAAGTGGCATTACTACTCCTTTCTTCTTGGTAGTCTGTCCTAATGCTGTGCAGTCTGTCCTTGAAGACACATTACTTAATGCCACAGAGGCTTCAGCTTTAAGCTAGGAAATGGTCTTCTAGGTGTTTGTACTGCTAAATCAGTCAAAGTTTATTTTCTTTAACTTAACCTGGGGTTTTAAGATGGAGGCCATACAAATGAGTATTTTGAGACTATTGGGGAAGATCACTGTCCTGTAAAGGAACACCTTACTGTTAAGAATTTCTACATGCAGTTAAAAAATTTAAAAAAAATAAACTTCTATTACGAAATTAAAACTCATGTTCAAGATCTGTTTTAGTTGAACTTCAAACTCTACAATACTCAAAAGTGTAAATCTGATTGTTACTTTATCGATAAAATAGTGACTTTTTTTGGTTAGGTATATTCGTTAAGTTGTTCTCAAGTGAAAGATTGATGTGAAGTATATAATTCTAAGAAAGTGTGACTAATAAGTGTAAGTAATATTTCTTGGGTTTTTTTTCTGATGCAGCTTCCTGTTTTCTGGCACTGATAGTGCATGGCGGCTTATCCTAACTCTGTCCTGAAGTGAGGTGGGAAATCTGTCCAATAATCCAGCATCAGTAAGACAGACAAGGTAATGATAAATGTATGTTTTTGGAAAGGAGGTGAAAGAAAACCTGTGGATGGATGCTGTTTTAATTTTTTAATGCTTTAAATTAAAAAAAAAACTAAAACCAGCAAACAACTTCTGCAAAACCCTATGCTTTTACAACCAACTTAAAGTGTTAATTAGACTGAGCTGATATGCCTGCAGTCAAGACTCCTAAGTTGCAAAACATGAATAATGCATTAGCAAGCATTAATGATATTATAAACTTCACTGTTTCATCATAATGTCTCAGCAGCAACCTGGCTGTGTTAATTGCAGGTCCCTTTTCTCTGCAGTTAGACTGTATCCACCTACCTCCTGTTATGTCTGATTAGGACAATGAGTTTGTTCAATAGTTGCTTGTCTCTTTTTTTGGATGTCATTGGGCTAAACAAAGGGATTTGCATGAAATGTTTGCTTTATATTAAGTTAATTACCAAGAAAACCCAGCAATTGAATTGCAATCTGGAGATAGCATCATACTACATCTTTTTAATGCAAAACATTGCCATTGAAACAGTGGAGTTAAATATATATAGGTGCATCAAGTTATGATGTATGAAAGGCTTTAGCTGAGTGTCTTGTTTCTCTAGTAGGAGAGAAGTAATTTTCACTGCAGTACTTTAAAAATAGACTGACCAAAGCAAAATTCAGTCTTCTCATAAAGCACTGTGTTATAACATTCTTCAAGGTAAGGAAGAAATACCTGCATATCTCTACCACGAATTCTTTTTGTGCAAGAGAATGAACAGCATGCTTGGCTGCACGTGGCTTTGGAAATGTCGATTTTGATGTGTAGGGCTGCCTACTTTTAACATCTCCAGTATTTGTACTTAAGATGTTAAGATAACTGCTTCTGTAGTTGCTCCTCATTCCGAATCTATTGTTTTGGCCCTGTCCAAAATAGTGAAGAAAGAAGGGGACATTTGACTAGCTATCTAGATCTTTTTTTTTTTTTCATTCATCTGCTTAGTAACTTCTCTGTAGTTTCTGTTTTTTTTTTAAACGTAAGGCCTTTGTGTTTTTTAACAAGAGAGATGCCATACAAAGTGATAATTTTAAAATTGTCTTATATAAAGTGTTAAAGTTGTGACTCTGAAGTGTGTGCTGTATGCTGTTTGGACACAAGATAGCTTTTTTGCACTTCCTTTTAAGTTGATGCGGTTGTCCACCTCTTTTAAAGCACCGAGAGTAACCGACTGTTCTGACCATGTACGCTGCATAACAAATTTGTGGCTCTGAGCCTAATGAGTAGCTAATAAGTGATCTATTGAGCAGCTTTTAAGAATCTAAAATCTTGGTTAAAACATCTCAGTCAAAATTTCAAAAAAGGAAAAATTTTGTGCCTGCCTTTGAGGAACCCTCAATGTGTTCTGATCATGCATATAATAAAACCAATGTTTAGCTCTTCATTTATTTGTTCATGAAATAATGCATGATTCAACTGATCCCCTTAGTAAAGCCACCTTACCACCTATAATCTTTGAAATAAGATATTTTGTTCTGGCAGTCTTTTCTTAAATTAAAAAAAAAAAAAAAAAAGCCCTTTGCTGGTTATCATAATTATGGGGGATGTAAAAATTATCTAATAAAGTGATAATATAACCAATATAATGTTGTAAGGCTGACAGCTTTTGCTTCAATTTCACTTTCCGTGAGAGAGATGTATACATGTATCTCGAAAGCAAATCCCAGGGAATACTAGTTCCTTTATAGCTTTTTTCCATGACAGTTTACAGCTGATATCTTACAAAAAAACCCACCCAGGTTTGAAATTTCTAAATGTCACACATGTCTTAAAGCTGCCTGACTTTTAAAAAAATCTTTACTTTTAAATTCTGAGCACTGTGATAACTGTTAATTTGAAGTGCTGAATCTTACGGAGTTGTTTGTTGCCCGTGAGCTCAGTTTATGTATTTATTGTTTGAGAAATTAGTGCATCATAGAATGTGTCCAAGAGAGGTTCTCTGGAGAGCTTCCTAACAGTAATGCTTTCCAAAGATGGAAAGCTTCAGAACTGTCATCAGATACATTTAAATAATCAATGTTTAGTTCTCTAAAATGTTTTTAATGTTTTGTTGTTAACAGCTCTGCCAGTGATAAGGAATCCACCATGAATGGGCAGCTGGACTTAAGTGGGAAGCTGATCATCAAAGCTCAGCTTGGGGAAGATATTAGGAGAATTCCTATTCATAATGAAGATATCACCTATGATGAATTGGTGCTAATGATGCAAAGAGTTTTTAGAGGAAAACTTCTGAGCAATGATGAAGTCACAATAAAATACAAAGACGAAGGTAAGGTTTAATTACTACTGTTGACATTTAATTACTACTGTTGCTCTGATACGATTTATCTGTAGACAGAAACTCTGAAATTCACCTCTTAAAAATTGTCCAATTTCATTGGCAAATGCAAGTGATTTCTTGTGAAATCCTTTGAATTGGACAATAGAAACTGTATCTTTTGTGGTTATGCTGCCTTAACATAGTATTTCTTCCAGTTTTTCTGAAATACCGGCTACCCGAAAATTCATTTTTTGCTGTTGCAGGAAGCTGATGCTATTGCAGGTTTCTTTTCTGTCTACTCATTTAACCATCTTTTTGTGTTTTCAGTGATAAAGAGGGTTTGAAGGTGAGGAGTGAATAAACATGTATGACTTAACGCAAGCTCTTATAAGACTTTGAAAACTTGATTTATGTAGTAGTAATTCTTGTTTATGTTTTCCTCCATCAGTAAAGATAAGAAGAAACTATGAATTTAACCTGAAATATTTATTAAAAGAAATCTTTCCCCTGTGTGACGGTTTGAATCTGTTGGACATTGGTTGTTGCAAAGAAAATCTTGATCATTAGTGCTAAACAAATGCAACCTGAAGAAAGAAGGGCTTCCACAGAATGAAAGGGGCCTTGTTTGAGATGTGTAGAAAGAGAGTTGTGGTTCGGAGGGTTTTTCCTCTTTGAATGTCAGTGTGGGGCATGGATAAGTTACTTAATTTGGGACAGAGGGGTGGTATTCATAAAATGAAACTCAGAATGAAGTGATAAAATCCAAAGTCTTTTAGTCAGATCAAAGACTGTGTGATAATTATGCTGGTGTACAGTAAAAGAGCTACATTACTGAAGCACTCAGATTCATTTTTCTTAATAGCACTAGGAAACTTTAGCACTGTCTGTGGTACCTAAAATGTCAAATAACTTTTGTTCATACATCTAGGCAATAAAATTTCACTTTGAATGACCCTGAGACAGTTTTTTCAGGTTCATGTAGCTTTTGAGAGACACTGCTCATCAAAATTGATATGCAATGAAGGGCTAATATTTTGCGTTGTGATCTCTAGTGGGAGAGAGCTCAGTGGATTTGTGGTCGTTTTGTTTTTCCTTTTATCACATAATCGATTTCTTTTTTTCTTTCTGGAATGAGAAAGGTGAAAGGAAATTGATGGATGCTTTTTCATTAGGTTAAAGCTTCTAGTCCCTTTTTTTGCATTCTTACCTGTTCTTTAAGTATAGTTCTCTGTGTTTGTGTATGCTTTTATCTCTGTCTTTTTTTGAAGAAGATAATGGTGTTTGATGGAGACTGTAATTATGTTTTCATTCTTTGTTGTCATTCACAGCCTAGAGACCTCCTACTTTTAATTTTAGCTTTTTTTGTCTCAGAATGTACTACTTCTCCACTGTGATGTGCAGTTTCAGTATATGTTATCCTAGCTGATCATCACTACTAAGAACGTTTAAATGTTTTTGATATCAGAGGAAGTTGCAAGTGATTAAGGAAAAAGTTAACAGAAGGACGCTTCAGTTTGATTGTCATGTGAGGACTGTGGTATTCATTTTGTTTCAACTAAGCTAAGATTCTTCTTTAAATCTATTTCAGTCATTAGAAGCATTGGAATACATAAGTTCTAGCTATTTCTATTTTGTTATTTATCCCTCCAGACCTGGAGGAATGCTTGTCTTCATCTGTAATGAGGAGATATCTTAAGTTGGTCTAAGCATTTCCGCTACTTCTACAACCTCGATCTGGGTCTTCTCAGAATTCATGTGCACACTCTCTGAGCGTTCAGAAGAATGCTTCGTCTACCCCTCCTGACTTTGTTTCTTGTTGCTGTAACACATGAAGCTAGTGATCTTCAGGCCTGGATATGGGATTTTCTGCTTAAAATTTCTGCAAAATACTGTGGCTTTGTATCTTCCTCAAACTGTCATGATCCTTGAATCTAACACATTTTGTTTTTTTTAAAACTTGTATGCTTAATTGGAGAGGCTAGGAAACTTTAAATCCCAATCCTTCTGTCTCTGGATTTGTGGACTAAGATAGTCAGAAGCATATTCCTAAATTATATTTAGGTTATGTGATGTTTTTATTAATCACCAAGGAAAAGAAGTTTCAGTTTCATTACTGCCTTGTGGTGTTAGGTTTTGTCTTCAAGCTGGGCATCTTTCAAACTTCTGAACTAAGGTAATTTCACACTTCTACTAGGTGTGAAATCGTTTTCATGTCCTGCTTAAGGTTCTTGAATATGTACTAAAACCCAATGTCTGCAAAAACAAAAAAAAAGCTAAAGCCCCTATGGAGCCAATAATGGAAGCTTTTTTTTTTTTTTTTTTAAACTTAGGCTTGAATGCAAAACTAGAGTTCCTAATGTGAGATTGGCCTTTTTGTTCTTTTTCTTCATTACCTTGCAGTAGAAGTTGATGCCTTTGTGTCAGAGCCAATGATGAGTTATTAACTCATACTGCATGTAATCAAGGTGGTGTGCTAGTCAGTAATGTCTCTACCTTTGGTAAATTTACCAAAGTGAAGGAAAACTACATTTTTGGTGGTGGTTTTTTTGGATTTTTTTCTCCAAAATGGAATAGGAAAAAAAAAGATAAATATAAGGGTAGCTAAAGCTAGTAGATGAGGAAGCATAGCTGGCAGGGCCGAAGATAATGAGGCAGATTTCAAAGTCTTAAACATTTCTAAAAAGATAATGAGATAATGGGCAGATTTCAAAGTCTTAAACATTTCTAATTTCTTACGTCATAAAAATTGGAATGCATCATGATGATGCAGAATTAATGCTAAAATACTTTCCATTGGTGAGTTAAGGGAATCACTAGCTTATACTGAAGATAAAAATTATAATTGGCGTAGCAGGGCATATTTAGCATACATAAGAAATTGTAGAAAGTGAAAGCTATGTCCCTTGTAAAAATGAGAAAGGTAAGTTCTTGAAATAACAAGATCAGTAGAGAAAATAAAGGAAAGTCTGTTTTACTTTTCAGTAGAAAATAATTAACATTGTATATTCCTACCTATATCATGATATAACAGGAATTAAGCTTCATTGACATTCCCTAAAATGAAAAGTTTGTTTGATAAATCTACTATACTTAAATTGTCAGACTTTTGCATGGCTTGACATATACATATGCCTTATGAATCCTAGCACATGCTCTACTAGGATAATAGCTTGATGGCTGTCAATAGGAATCATAGAACTGACTTCATGGATCTAACAAGATTCTGTACTTGGTGCTTTTCAGGCTTTTTTTCTGCTAGCAATTTAAAAGAGAAACTTTAGTCATTATTCTTAATACCTTAACATAAATTTTAAAATAGGTGAGGGAGAATATGATGGAATGATCTGAATTCTTTTGGGTGACATTAATCCATGTAAATGTGTGTATTAATACACATTTTCATTTGGCTATGCAGGATAACTATTTAGAACATGCACCTTTGTTCAGGCAGTGAATCTGAGTATTGACTGGTATGACAGAAAAGCATCATAAGATGGTCTGCCAATGTTGTGCACTGGCAAGAGAAGTAATTATCACTTTTTGTGTTATCAGGAGAATATGGAATAGAAGGGCTTTGCGGTAAGACACCAGTAGATTTTGGTAGCAGCATTTAGGAAAGGATACTGAAAAGCTGGAGGAAGTGTTTGAGTTGGAGGGAACCCCCCCTGCCCTCACTTTACTGCCAAAGGGAAAGGACTGTTTAACTTCCATAAAGTTACTTGTTTGGGGTCTGATTGTATAAGTGTTGTTATGGATCATAATGGCAATCAGGGACACTATTACCCTTCCCTTCCCCTCCCCTTCCCGGCACTGGTGAGGCCCCACCGGGAAGTCTGTGTTCAGTTTTGCTGCCTGCACCCCAGGCTAAAAAGACTGGGAGAAACTGGAGAGGGTCCAGCAGGATGCGGTGAGGACGGTGAGGGGCCTAGTGCAGGTGGCCTGCAGGGAGCATTTGAGGGAGCTGGGCTCGTTCAGTGTGGTGCAGAGGAGGCTGAGGGCAGAGCTAATAGCAGCCTCCAGCTGACTGAGTGGGAGTTGCAAAGACCATTGAATCTAAACTTCTTGGTAGCACCAGGTGGCAGCAGTCATAAACTGCAGTTTGAGAGGTTGAGCATGAGTTTTGGCTAGGAGGGCAGTGTGTCACTGGAGCAGGGTGCCCAGTGGGATTTTGGAGCCTTCATTCTTGGAGACTTTCCGGTCTCTACTCAGTGAAGCCATGACTGATACTGCTGTCAACCAATGTTTTTTGAGATTGTGAAAGTGCAAACGGGACATAGGATACAAAAAAAATCTTTGGAGACAACAATATTTCTTTCAGGAAAACTTGAAAACTATTTTATATGTGATCAGTTTGTTAGTATTGGCAAGATTCTCATTTATTTTGTTAGAAAGTAACTTCTTTGAAGACTGACAGGCATTACTAGGTATTATTAATGGTCCTATACTAAGAAAACCTTCCATTGCAGAGGTGTTAGTTGTAGTCAGGTATGACAAAATTAGAATATGTAGTTCTTCAAATTTTGAGCTTTTTTCAACTTGCCATCATGTGTTTTATGACTATTCATAAAGCATTCATTTATTTGAAAATTTTAACCATAACTTTTATACAGTAGGAACTTTGTCACCAATGCATAAGGAGTAGCTCAGAATTTTTAGGCAGTAATCTGTAATTAAAAACATGTTTCTGTGTCTGTCCACAGAGCCTCCTTGTAACAGTGTTTTAGGGAGGAACTTTGGTAGCCTGGAGTTGGCTTTGTTCCAAGCTGTGTGTCATTTGTCTAACTCTGTTGCTTCTGAAGGTGAAGCTTCACTACATAGTGTCTCATCTCAGTTCCCAGTCATAAAGCTGTTCTGGAAGGAGTTTGTCGTGCTATCCCTTCTCTTACCCTCTGCCTGTACACACGTTTTCCTGATAACACATTCCCTCTCTTTCCTTTGCACTGCCTAATATATGTTCATTTAATCTATTAATAATCTGTTGAATATGTTAAAAGAGCAGAAAATCCGTCCTGCCAAAGAGAATAGTCTTGTTTTATCGGTGATCTTGTTGAATAAGCAAAGACGTTAATGTGTATTGTCTTCACTCAGATTAAAGATCGTGAGAGACCAGACTTAACAGGAACTTGGTATCTCTTTAGGGTATTAATGGGTTTAAAGGTGTTCAGTGCTTTATGCATAACCCTTTGTGCCTTAAAAATAAAGGATCCCATACAGTTCTAATATAGTTTCTGGGGCTGATGGCAATATGAAAATTCATTAGGGTGCATCAGGATGGGAGTTCCTCTGAAATCTGACACACAAAAAAAAATAGCTGAGTTGAGACTTCATGTCAAATTCCTGGTCTGAGAGAAAAGTTTTCTTCTGAGTACTTTGACACCTTCATGTCTTCATGCCTATTTGTGTGTTAAGGCTGATAGATATTTTTACTATCCACTTTTACACAGGACCTTTATTATCACTTCCTTATTGAAAATCAGTCTTGCACCTCAGTGTTCTGAGTATAACCTGAGAAAGTGTTCTAGTCACTTGAAATTTTCCCTTTTTAGTGTGTGTGTTTTGTTTTTTAAAAATTGAATTGGGATTGGCTTGTGCCATCTATCTTGATTCTCCTGTCTGTTCACGAACAGCACAGTTTTGGAGCCACTTGGAACAGGTAGATAACTTTAACTGGCAGCATCATTCTTTCTGGTGTTGGACTTTGTGAACTCTTAGCTCTAATGTTTCATCCTGTATGTAAACATAAAAGAATGATGAGCTATATGGAACTTTCAAAAGGCTAATATCAGAAGGCTCCCTTTTGGAGCCAGTCATGCTTCTGTCTTACCTTGTGTGCATAATTTCCCTGCACACTGATTCTTGCACTAAAATAATAAACTTTTTTCCTAGTAACTTCAGAATCAAATAGGGAAAGTTTATTTTTGAGTAATGAAGTAACACTTCTGCCCTAGCGTGAAGTTAGTAGTTACTAGGCTTTGCTTTTAATGTAACTTTTTCATGTTCTTTTCAGATGGAGATCTTATAACAATTTTTGATAGCTCAGATCTTTCCTTTGCAATTCAATGCAGTAGGATACTTAAGCTGACATTGTTTGGTAAGTATAGAAGATCGTTTGTTGTCTTCTTTTTTTTAATAATGTTTATTAAAATTCAGGCAGTGGGCTTCACTGGAAGGTACTAAAAACTTTGCAACCTCAGAAGAATGAAATCAGTAACTTAAAAATACTGGATTAATACATGAAATCTGTTTTCTCTCTTGATGTTTCATGTGACATCTGAACTTACGGAAACTGAAACTATTTCTTTTTATAAAATTGCTTAAAGTATTTGGCATACATATATATGTGGTCAATGTTTTTTTTTCTAAATGTTATTTTCCATGTTATCTTCCACTGTCTAGCATTTGTGGGGTTTTCTTCACAGGTGTGTGAGAAATTTAAGTTGATGTTTATCTTGCAGCGTTACTAGTACACTGCTAAAAACTAACATTAATTGCTTAAAGTTGAATAGATTTTAACATTTATCCTTTGGCTTTTGTATAAAATAGTTCTTTATTTTCAAGCTACAATTAGTAAATTAGCACATAGTTCCAAGGAATAGCAAGCAGCCTTTAACTTGGACACTGACCTTATTCATTAATTGCTGCAGTGTTGTGTATGCTGCATTAGTTCTAAAGGCACTTGCTAAAGGGACAGCTTTCCACAACCAAGTATGATACTTGTATTGCTCAGGGTATATTCATGGAAATGAGTAAACAATGCAGAAACTTACTGCAGACTTTACTCTGCAGTTCTGGTACTGTGGATTATGCTGAACTGAGATTATATTAAAGGAACAGTAAGCTCTAGAATGAGTTCAGTCTGTGTTGACTAAACTGTGTTACTTTAAACTCCACAGAGGATGATGATGCTACAAGCAAGTAAAAGTTGGAAAAATTTTTTTTTTTTGCAATTTTAAACTGGATGTTAAAATGTTACTACAGTCTTAAATTTATCTAATTGCTGTTTTGCAGTGAATGGACAACCAAGACCCCTAGAATCTAATCAGGTGAAATACCTGCGTCGAGAGCTGATAGAACTTCGCAATAAAGTCAATCGTTTACTGGACTGTTTAGAACCACCAGCTGAACCAGGGCTTTCCACTAATCTGCCTGAAAGTGGTAGGCAACCTGGCAAAGAATTGTTTGGTTTGGTTTGATTTGCAGAGTTGTGTGCTGTTTAACAAAGTGAAAAATGGAGGCTTGAATACTGGTTGTGATCATTCTTAATTGTTGCTTGGTGGTTCAGAACTTAATTTTTAATGCTTCAGTTATTTCAGAGGCAGAAATTTTATTCAAATTATCTGGTGTAAAGCACTGAGTTAACTTAGGAATAAAACTTCAAAGTCTAAGTTTTTGTTGCAATGTATGAAAATGCTGTAACTAACACTTGTGAGTCATGACAACATTTTGAGAGGGCTTTGAGCTGAATTGATAGTTTGTTGTTGCTGAAGAGTTCTTGCTCCCAGCTGAGCACTCCCACTGCTTACTTTGGGCTAGCTCTGGTGCTTATCTTGTCATGTTGCTAAGCAAGTTTGATTCACTGAAACAGTAAAAAGCGAATTCAGCAAAAATTATATCCACTTTTTTTGCCAGGTTAGGAAATTGTATCCACACATTTTGAGCTCAGACCAGCATCAGAGCTGTCTCAGGGTAAGCAGCACAAGGGTGCAGATAGGGGTGAGGAAGGATTATTGGGGGAGGGCAAAACGGGGAAGGAAGTCTTATTCTCCCAGTTTTGAGGCATTGATCTCCTAACTTAGAGCTGTTGTACTGTAAAACCTATACTTCTGTGAGCTTAACTACAGATTTTGGGTAAGCAGAAAATAATGACACAAAGTCATGGAGTACAGTGTTCTGAGTAAAGAGGAGAACCGAGAATTCCAGCCTTTCTTTTAAGAAACGGTGCTTTTGTATTTTACACTTCGAAGTTTTATTGGTTTTGTTGTTTAAAAAATCCCTGCCCCTGTTCCTACAATATAAGCAATTACTAATTTCAGTGGAATGCCATGGATTCTGGTTATAAACCATTTGGAAGGAGGTTAGGGTGATGATTTTAGAGCGTAAACAAAACTAGCCAGTCTAAACCCTATCTGTACTTCTTTGTTTTTAAATGAAAATGTAGCACTCTACTAAGTAAGGGCTTTCTGAGTGATTCAGTGTTACTTGTATAATTGCAAAGAGATGAACTTCACCTGTCAGCTTAGGAAGAATTTGGGGAGAAAGGGATAGAACAAAACAAAAACTACAGTTGATAAAACACTGTAATAAACTGGAATCTATCCTGTAAGTTTTCTTAATTTTGAATTCTCTGTAGGCAAGTCATACTAAAACAATTTTTTGAAGCAGGAGCCTTGTAGCTTTGAATTTAAGACAAAGTGATACGTGATACTGATACTCCACAGTGTCAGTGTATCTTTAAGCAACTGTGCAATGAAACCTAAGCTTTGTGATTCATCACAGTTACAGATACATCACTGATTCATCACTGTTATCCTAACATAAGCAGTTCAACAGTTAAAACATTTAAAAAAAACCCCACAGCTATGCAATTTTAAAGTCGCTGTAGTACAATATCTATGTATGATGGTATTTCGCTTCTCAAGAATTAATAACTGGACATTGTGTTTTGTAGATGCTGTAGATGGTAGGGAAGAAAAGCCTGCTGCTGCTGATGCTAATGTTAAGCCATCTACTCAAGTCATAGCAGCAAGCATGTCTGCATTTGATCCACTAAAGAACCAGGATGAAATCAGCAAGAATGTCATGTCAGCATTTGGCTTGACAGATGATCAGGTGTCAGGTAAGAACATGTCTTATGAAAAGGAAAGCAAAACCTGTTCATAATCGATGACTCAAATCTTGATTTGCAGCAAAGCATTTATATTTTGGATGTATTAAGCTGTGTTCTGTATTCACTGTTTCTTTTCAGAATTCTAAAACTTGATATATTAAGGTGTAACTGTGTTTGCTAACTTTTGTATACAAAATGTTGAAATGTTGCTGTTGGTTTTATCATGGTGTTTTAGCTTGGAGTAGAAAATGGCTTAAATTTTTTTATTTGAACTACTTAAAACTATTGTGTAGAGTAACTTAACTTGTATCTGCCAGTGATAGAAAAACAGTATTCACTGCTCTGCCGTAGGGTTTCATCTTGCATTTCAGCTTACGCTCTTGGCTTGTGCTTCTGCTGTTTGGGTCAGTCAGAATGTTTTGTACGACACCGCCTTTTCTCTATTTCATTTCAAAAGTAAATAGTGTCAACTTTTTTACTGTTAACAGAAAGGAATAATCTACTTGTCTAAATTATGTTTATTCTTGAAGAGCTGCACGACTGTTGGCCCCACCTAGTAGTAGAATGCTCAACATACGAAACCTGATTATACTAAACTGAATGCAGTCCACTCGGGACAGGATAACTGAAGTTATAAAAGCAATGTAGAATGTAGTAGGGAGTGTGGTGCAGAATATAGTGAAGTGATTTAGCACAGCATCTGTGTGGGTCTGGCAAGGTTTAATGTAGCATTGAAACCTGAAAATAAAACTGCTGTTAGCTAACGGGATTTGCTGTGTACCCTCAACTTTAGAGCAAGTAAACTGTATATGGTGTGTGAAGTAATGAACAATACAGATGGGCAAACTAATAGCAACTGGAGCTTGTTTCTACAGCACGGCTGCCTTGGCAAAAGTGTGGAGCGATAGGAATAGATCTGCACCGCGTGATTGCGACTGTGCAGGATCCAAAGTTGTACCTGCAGACAGCGTGGTTGTCTTCAGATTGGGGTACTGCTCCGTGGATCAGGCCTATTGAGTGATCTTTTCCTCCGTGGCACGTTTTGGGTATTGTTACAACATCGTGATTTCATAAACCAGATAAAGGTTTGGTGGTACTTGAAAACTTACAATGGGCTACCTCTGAACAATGAAGTGATAGAGTAGAATATGAAGTACAACTAGCAGAAAATTGGAGCTAATTTTTCAAGGAGTGGTTTTTGTCGCTTGGTACAAAGCCTCTGTGTCAGTTAATGCTTTGATCATAGCATGAGTGATACTTCAATGTTTATATGTCTCCATAATTCTTCTGATAGTGAACTGACTTGGCCACGCTTTGAATGTACAAAGAACTTCACAGAGGACCATTTAAGTGGGATATAAGAAATCCAGGTTTAAGCTGTTTCTAAGAAAATATTTTGCATTAAATTGTATTGTATTATACCCGTTCACATGCATATTTCAGAACTTCATGCTAATGTAGAGAAAATCTGAGTTCTCTGTTTCCATGCTTTCTTTGGGTGCTAGCTGGAATATTTTCAGAATTATCAAAGCAGACAATTGCTTTTAGACTGAAGTCTGCCATATCCTGTCCGGGCGTGCGAATTTAATACATTCCTTGGAGGTTTTCTGTTCACATGCTGTATGACTGTTGGTAAAACACTTTGTTGCCTGGGCCCATGTGGGCCACAGTAAAACACCAGTGCATTTGAACAGTTTCACGCAGCCTTGCACCTTTGCTCCAGATGAGAAAGAATCGGTACGTAGGTGCGTATTCTGTCCACACGTAGCAAGTCTTCAGTGTACATGTGCAAGGTTAATGCTTGAAGCTGTGGCAAAACCATGTTGTCACACATGGTTTTATCTCACAAATGGATCAGGTTCCTTGGAAGGATGAAATTTGAGTGACTTAGAGACAGGTGGAAAATTCCCCCCAAAGTAGTTTCAAAGGAGAGTTCAGATGTGCAAATATATTTAGTTTTAGCTTGGGTGTGACACTCTCAGATGTAAATCTATGGAAAACTGGAAAAAACGTTAAAAACTTTGCAAGGGAATGGTCTTGTATTAGATTTTTTTTTTTTTTTATTCGAACTCTGTTCATTTCGTGTACTGTATTTTGTTCTTGCTCCGCTAGGACCACCCAGTGCCCCTGCAGAAGAGCGATCGGGAACACCGGACAGCATTGCTTCCTCCTCTTCTGCAGCCCATCCCCCTGGTGTTCAGGCACAGCAGCCACCGTACCCTGGAACACAGCCACAGACTGGTCAGGTGGAAGGTAAGCAGCAGGTTTTTCTTCTATTTAAGATGTGAATGATGGTGTCTGAATCTAAGTGATCAGTAGCTATGACTTCCAATTAGCAGAATCGAAGTTGACACTAAAGTACAGGTTCATCTGTGCCACTAGGCAGAAAAACTTTTTTCCTCACATGCTGTTCAATACGGAAACAGCAGGTGGAGCAGTAGCTTTATTTAAAAGGGTAGGTAATGTAATGTGAGGAGGACTTTCACACTGCTGTTTTCTACTTGCATCCGTGCTCACTTTACTGTAGGCAGATTTATGTATGCTGCACTTTAAAGCTCTCTGAAGATCTTAGTTTGTATCATACCCTGCGTGTTGTGTCAAGCAATATTAGTAGTTGCTTTCATTCAGCTAACACTTTGTTGGCTTGTCTGCTATGAATTAAAAATGTTGTTTACTCATCCTTTCTAACAAAGCAGAGCCGTTATTGCATTGCTTCTTTACTATGTACAGCTCTGTGCTAATCAGGTGAAACCTTATAACTATCTCACATGCATTGTAGTTTTCCTATGTAACCCTTGAGAGCCTCAGCTGGTTCTCCTTTAAAGCTTAAGGTCTTAAGTCTGGTATTCAGATCCTTTGTACTATACCCTTTTACATGTTATTTGACTTCTAAAAATAAACCTATTCAGAGGTTTGCTACGTTTGGGCATCATTTTTCTATTGATATTTTCTAAGAGCACTGAGCCTTTGGACCTGCATAGTTCTGGATGAAACTAACTGTGGAATGACTTGCTTTGGTATTTCTGCCTCTGTATAAAGTACAATACAAAGTTGTTTCTGTGTTAGCGTAGAAACAAGTTACAACCCTCTGCTGCTTTCTGTACTGACATAATGCTGAGGTAAATGTGAGGGGCATTATTGAGGGTGATGACAGTATCTACAGTCACTTGGAATATCTTGCCTGAAGGGCATCAGTAACATTTTGATTGAGCAGAGTATTTGAGCAACTTGTAGTTAGGCATAATATTTAAGCAGGCATGAATGCTGTTGGTTGCAGTGGAGCTTATAAAACACTTGTTTTGCTGCTTTCAGCTTTTTTTTTTTTTTGCTTACTTCCCTAAGAATTAATTAAGTGATATAAATGACACAGCAAGAGACATCTTTGTAGCTTAAAGATGTAACAGCTATTTGGCATTTGATGTATGTGGAAGTTACTTTTGGAAAAAAGTGCTTCAGGTTCTTCTGTCAGCAGCTAGAAAACTTAATATTCAAAAAATACACTCTCAGCTACTGAACTTGTATTTTATGAGTTTAGCCTTTTTACTTTACTTTTACCTTAATACAGTAAGGTATGAGGTTTTAAGTGTTGATGTTAAACGAATGAAACAAAAAAGTGAAACACTTAAAAACACTAGTAGCAGTAGGTTAGAATCCTGAATGGCTGCTAACACCAGGGAAGGGAAAAAGTACTTGTTTCAGCAAAACTCATCTTACTTAGGAAAGAAGTTGTCTAGGCTTGTGTATCAGAGTGGATGTAATGGTTTTTCTAAACTTGGGTCAAGGAAAGTATAGTGGGTTTTTTTTTTTAAACACTGAACTGTGCTATACCTTTGCCCAAGTCCGTTTTTTTGCATGTAAAAGTACAACAGCACTAATTATGAAGGTTTTGGTCTGTAGTTTATGCAGTTTTTGTTATTGCCACTGAAATATGTTAAGTATTGATTATATTTTCTTCACTTTATGGATAAAATAGGATGGTTCAGTTCATGGGAAGAGATCAGAAGTCATTATTGCATTTTGTTCATCAGAAAATACTAGCCGGAGCGCTTATGCTGTGCATCGTATGCATATGGTAAATAGCAGTCTCTTACCAAAGCTGGGTAATACCTGTGTGATTATCCACCTCCGAGTTTTTTTCATAAACTAAATTGCTTTTATCCAAAGTGTTCAAAGACTTTCCTTTGAAACACGGAGTAGCTTTCCGTACTTCACTGTTTGATAGCACTCAGTCCAGTGGTAATTTGGGGACTTATGCTGCCCCGCCCCACTCCAGCGCAGCTGAGATGACAACCAGTGCAGGGCCAAGGCCCAGCCAGAACTCTGGATATGTTTTGATGGTTAGGTTTTCAACAGGATTGGCTCACACCAGTGGCACTGCTGGTGCAGCACATGTTCTTGTTAGAACTGGTTTTAAAACTAGTTTTAAAAAAACCAGTTCATTTCTTAAAAAAACCCAAAACACCCCAAGCTGTGCTTCCCTACCACCTTACCAGTATTTTGAGGATATAAGTAAAACAGTGATGCCAATTACGTGTCAATCATTCTGCTATATCAGATTATTTTTTAATGGCATTCTTTGCCAATAAATGATGTTATGATGTTTATAATCAGTTATTAGTTGTTGTTATTTGTGAATACCAAGTCACCTCACCTCTATGTGCTGATACTAATGAATGGCTTGCCTCCCTTGGTAGTTTTAAGCATTCAGTAGTTTGAATTAAATCAATACAACAAAGATGTTTCAGTATATTGCTGTCTCCTGGGGCACACCTGAGCTTTTGTACCACTAAGTCCAGTCACTGAATACACACGAGAACCAATTATGTACAGATGTGGACACATTTTTAGTCTTTGCTGAAATAGATGTAAAACTTCATTCACGTAAGCACTTCATGATCTTCTAGGGAAAAGAATGTTGTGTGAATAAACCTATTTGGTCTTTTTTGTGAATCAAGCTAAAATGGCTGTTTCAGTGCACAGGAACAATGGTAAATGCTGGCAGATCCTTGACTGCAATAAGCGCTGCTAAGTACAAAACCAGACACTGATGATGTAGCTCATCTTGTTTTCAGCGTAAAAATCCAGTGAGAGGGAAAACTCTGTGTGTTTAAGGACCCATAGGATCCCTGCCTGCATTCATGGCTGTAAGTTAAGACTGTTTTCTTGAACGGCACTGGAACACCTCTCTGCTCCTCACTAATGCTTCAACCCTGGTGAGGACAGCAAGCCGCCGCAGAAAGCTTTGGAAAAACTCCATGCTGTTTCTTTGAGGTCCCTTTACCTGGGGTCTCCAGCAGGTGCCAGTATGGTCGCTCTGTTAGCCTGTAGGTGATTATGCCGAGACAGGCAGCCTCCTGGTTGTTGTCCCAGAACTTCCCTATAACAACTGAGTTTAAGAAACAGGAAACAGGCATTCTGAATTTCTAATTCTTAATTATCAAGCTAACAGGCTTAAATTCTCTTCAAGCCTTGTGTTTAGCACTCTCTTCATCCCACAATAATTGCACACCAAATAATATTTTGAACGCTTTAGTGTTTATGTAAAATACCGTTGCTTTCAGCTGCAAGTAATGCAGAGAAAAGATGAAATAAGGAGTTGCAGTGTGCACAGGGGTCTGGGAGGACTTGGAGCAGAGCCGAGGTGCTTTTGTCTTGGTGCGCTTCAGAAGATACAGCTTACACACTATGTTTATACAGTCTGCTGATCTTTGCAGAATGAATAATAGTACAGTAACACTTTATAATAGTAAAGTTTCCATCTCTGCTCCAGTTCAGCTAAGCTTTAGTTTTGGCAGGTAATGGTTTTTGTTCTTTGTGCCTGTTACTAAATTGAAAAACAGCAGAAGCATAAAACCTAAACAGGGCCCATAGGTTAAGTCTAAGCAAATATTCTGCCTCTTCTTGCCAAGAAATTGGAAACAGTGAATTTAGGAAAAATTAGCACTGAATTGGAATACCCAAGCTTAAGAATGTACGGTTTTATTTTTGCTTTAGGGTGTATACCCCTGGGTCTCTTAAGAAAACTTGGCTTACAGCAAGTCAGATACGAAGAGATGGATGACTTATCTGGAAAATGTGGTCAGAATAAATAATGTACCACTCTGCTTACAGTACTTTGATGCAGAAATGGTCTTAAAAACCTAATATAAACAGACAATCTGAGGACATAGTTAGCTTTTGAGGTACTTTAATTTAGAGTGTAAGTTGTGGAGCAGTTAGCAAGACGTTTAAAGATTCCTCCTCTGTTACCCATCAGAGTAGCACTAATTAAGGTGCATGGCTTCTGGCATCCTCTGAAAATGTGAAATAGTAAGCCTCACGTACCAAATTAGAACTACTTATTCTGTTGGAGCTAGATAAACATCATTTAGTCTTCAGAACGGCGTGGTTCAGAAACTAAAATCTGTAGATTGATTTCAGTTGGTGGAACACATATTCAAAGTTCACTGTGTTCAGATTTTTTTAAAAAAGTTTTTCATGTTGTGAGAGGGTTTGTTTCTGTGATTTTGAACTGTTAGGATGTTGTTCAGCGTGTGTCTATAATACAGCTAGGGTACTGGGCTTCAACTAAATATGTTTTTAATCCATAGGTCAGATGTATCAACAGTACCAACAGCCTGGTTACCCTGCTCAGCAGCCGCAGGCTCAGCCTCAGCAACAGTACGGTATGCAGTACCCAGGTAAGCGGCTCTATCAAACGGCGGTTTAGCTGTAGAACCTCTCCTTCAGTGCCCGAACCTGTGGGGCAGGTCAGGGTGCTGAGCAGCCTGAGTGCCTGTGGTTTTGACGGGAACTGGCACAATTCAAAAATGACCAGTAAGAGAACACTGTAGCTGTTTTTAATATGTAGTTGGAGTTCTGGTATCTCAGTCCTACTTGATTGTGACCAAAAGCAGACTTCATCATTAATCAGCAGAATGCATTGTTAGAAAGGTAGGCAAAATGAATCACCTGAAGTATGAGCAGTCTTCAGGATTAACTTCTGCAGTCTTGGGATTCGAGCAAGTAAGTGACTAAAACATCCCAATTTAGCTGCCTTAATTGTCAGAGGTATATAAAGATGGCCCCCATTTCTTGCATCTGGAATGATCTCCATGTACAATATCTAGTGGTGTGAACAGTGATTATAGTTGTCATTTCGTAAATCCTTAGCTGTTAAAAATACTGTCATTTCAGAGACACTTTCAAGTGATAGGTTTTTTTTAGTTGTTGATTTTGCTGCTACCTCAAGTAAAGGTGCCAGTAGACTTTTAGCAGAAGAACATTTTAGTGCACTAGGGGTTTATGTGCAGTCAAATATGAAAAGCTGGCCTTTGCCTATACCCAAAATAAACTTGACTTCAGAACTTTCAGTTATTTACTTTAGAAGCAGCTGGCATCTAATAATGCGTATTATGTGCTAGTAATCATAATCCAGCTAAAGTACAGGGATGAACCTGTAACAGCAGATTCCATAATAAATTGCAAGTTGCTTAATACTTTCAGAAAATGATACAAAGCATTTATCATTCCTTGTTTTAAACAATCTTCCTTAAACTAAACAAAAGACGCCCATACCATTAAGTGACTCAGAATACTGAGTCTGTATGGCCTTTTTTTTGGTGTGCAATATATACAGTGGAGTGCATCAATTTTGATGTAGATGAGAACACTTGCAGAGCTTATGAAGAAATTCCATGTTTATCTTGGATAAGAACCCTAGAAAACTTGGAACTGAAGGTTTGTGCCTCAGCCCTTGTTCCTGTGCACTGTGCGAGAGCTGGTTGATTTGGGTCTCTAAATGGTATCTTGTTCTCTGCAGATTTCTCACCCCCACATTTGTAATTAGAAGACAGTGACAGACTTTCTGAAGTCTATTTTCAGAAGAAGTAACAAGCCTTTTGGAAGTAGAAGGGTCTATCTGACTTTCCTTAGGCTTAAAAACTGAGTGGGGGGGGAAAAAAGGAGTTTCCATCTGCTTTCTAGTCATATCCCACTATCATCTAATCCATTATTGCACTGGAGAAGTTCCTGTGAAAGCTGTAGCGCAATGCGAGTTCTGCATTTCTAATCGACATCGTCTTCAAGTAAGAATGAAACACCACCAAAATGATCTGGGGCTCCTCTGTTTCTCATAACTTATTTCACGATTAACTTAATCTTTCAGAAACAGTCTTTTTTTTGAAGACCTAGTGACAGCAGCCGTTGAAGGTCTTGAATCACAGGATTTTTTTGTTTGTTTTGCTGTTGTTCCCATGAGTATTGTCTCCTTTCAAACCCATGTCCCCAAGAGCAGGATCCATTCCCAGTCTTGTAGATCTACTAGGCAACAATGTGGCTATTTACTCATGGCAGTAAAAATGGACCCTTCAGAGGTTTGTCTCATGAGTAAATTTTGATCCCAGTGTCAAGGTGAGTTTACTCCAGTGCATTCTTTAATCCTTACTCTTTCTGTTCAGGGCTGTGCACTTGTAATAATTTGTGTGTCTGGTGTTTAATGCTGACAGGATTCCAGTCACTGGAGAGGTTTCATTGCAAGTAGCTGCAGGTGTGTTTCATGACGGATAAAAGTAGCTATTTCTTCATAAAAGGACTTTGTGTTATTTTAAAGTTTTCCGTAAGAGAAGTTCCTTTTATACAGAAAAATCAAGTTTGGGACATGTTTAAATGGAAGTTTTGTACTAAAGCATTCTGTCCTGCACAACCTTTTCATATTTAACTCTAAAGAACTGAAAACACCTACGATTTAACGAAAGGTATGACTTGTATTAAACCCTGACAATATTTTCACGACAGTTTAGTTTTGAGTTCTTATTTGGGGAAGAGGTTGCATTTTGCCTCGTTTGCCAGTGAAGACTTTTTATTTTTCATGTGACATGATAGTAGAATACTATTTGTCTTTTTTTTATTTGTCAGTCATGGGAAAACTATTTTACACCAACTATTTTCAGTGTTGCTGTGCTGCCAAAAACCAGGCAGTGTGGTTACGTGGAAGGCAGGAGAACTTGCGGTTCGTTCTCGGTTTGCCTTTTCTGTGCTTACAGCCTTCTTTTGTGCTTGTCACGGTCAAAAAAAAAAAAAACAAACAAAAAAACCAAACACCAACAAAACAAAAAAAAACCCCAAAACAAAAAGGGGTGTTTCTGCAGGCGCCGACGGTTGTTTGCTGTCTCTCACCCCACCTTGCTCTTTGCCTTTCCAGCAGGCTACAGCCAGCAGCAAACCCCCTCGCAGCAA